ACACCACACTGTGACACTGTGGGTGACCTGACAAGAACCCAAAATAATGTGAGTAAACCTGCTGTGAGCCTGGAGGGTCCTCAACCTGCTGAAGATGGCACTTCGGCAGTGTGGATGCTCGGGGCCACGTCCACTTTTCTGTCTGAGGATGTCACTCTGCAATGGCCTCTTTTTCCCCACTACTGGTTCTCACATTAAACATCAAGGAAAATGTGCAGTGCAAAGAATGGACTTTTTTATTCACACTGCACAGGGGGTCAATGGCATTTCTCAGAGGCAGTGTCCCGTTTAGCTGGGAGGATGAAGAATATCCTTCTGTTGGCTCCATTTTCTTGTACAGACCACATGATATAGAGCAGGTGAGGTGAACTAAGATGCATTCATCCAGCAAATTATTTTTCTGATTATTTTGTAGCTTTACAATTCTCTGTATTATCTTACATTAAAATCTAGCTGAGCAGATTATTTATCCTTAAATTCCAAAACTTTAAGTGATCATTGAAGAAGTATTTATCCATTTCAAAACATTTAAAAATGCTATACCTGACTAATATAAAACCGTATCATATATAGTTATATGTCAGATGGAAAGGAAGCACCATTTAAAAAAAATAAAACATTAAGTAATATCTATGGAAATTTGTAAAATATATTAGGTACGACTTGAACCATCTGAGAGTCTGAATTTCGTACTTTTGGTCTATAGAATGGATTTCAGCAAGTTCATTTGACTTATTTTAGAGACCTGAATGTTACTGCAGTAGTTTCACACCACTAGAAGATACTAGGAATAACTAAATTGCTCATGGCAGGTATTACAGAACACACAAATGCATTAATCTTCTTGGTCTGGTGTTTGTTGGGGGAAGTTGTTTTAATTTTGGGGGATTTTCTTTCCATTTTCAAACGTATTTCTAAGTGTAATATGTGTACTCAATATTTGACCATAACATGCAAACAAAGAGCACTGCAAATGTCTGTTCATGGAATCTGCAATGTCTAAAAATCACATGAGATTTTTTCCAGGCCCAAATTTCAAGCCCATGACCACATGCCAAAGATAAAATGATGAGAATTACAATAGAGGGGAAAATTTTCTTCATCACTGAGAAGCCTTTGGTCAATATTATGATGAATTTTTTTCAAGACAATATTTTGATGGGACACGTGGTGAATATTTGTGGACTATTCAAATGCTGGAAATGTATTTAAGTTGGAGTAAATCCACCCACTCAATTCCAAAATATTGCTGAAAGGAAAATCTGTGTTAGGCAAAAAATAAATCTAGAGCTATCAGAAAACCTGAGGTCACAGGAATCATAAATTAAAAAAAAAAAAACCAACATATTTACTCGTCTCACTATGCCATTCTTTGAATATTATGGCCTGAAACGAAGGCTATAGGCCAATACTTGATTCTGCTTGGCCATCAGCATCCACTTACTGTGAGGGAACAGCGGTTGCAGAACCTCTCAGTTGTCAATTCCCATAATATTGCATGAATCTTGTCGTGCCTGACAGTTTTCATAAAGCCCAAACTCCATGAGACTGAAAAATCTCCCGAGAACTCCATTTTTTGATTACAAGGAGAAAAAGCAATGTTGTAATCTTCATGACTGTAGAAACAGGAGAAAAAAATTATCTTTGCTCTGCTCCCAATATGCCAAAAGCTCATTAACCCAGAGGCAAATTAAGCATCTCTGAGAACCCACTATGTTTAATTTTTTTTTCTTTCTAAGCAGGAAGAAGAGGAAGTCAAAGAGGGTTCTGACAATTTTAAAACCCTGTAAAAGCAATACTGGAATTCAGGCCATTAATTTCAGCTGAAAACAGAGAGAAAAATAGACTCCTGTCATTAAGCCACAAAATTTTGATACAGGTGTATGGTAAAGTGCAGAGTGGTTTTTTTTTTTTAAATCACCAAATCACAGGGACACTACCAAATGAAACTACCAGACAGCATACAAATAATGAATAAACATTGTCTGCAATTCCTTTTTTTGGAATTAACAAAATTACCCATTTTTTGCCTGTTCAGATTGAAGGATCTCAAAGAGGATTTCAAAGAGGGACAAGCCTGACATAGGTTGCTTTGCATAGTCATCCTACTGTGTATCAACAAATAAGCAAGAGCTGCATTTTTTATTTCTTCACACCCATTTTAGTATCAGCCCAGTGGAACTATTGTACTGAACACTGTATCATGTACTCATTGTGTTTTATATGTGCTTGGAGTAGCGCAGGGCTCCTTGTTAATAAATTTCTGCTGTGCAGCAGATGTATGTGGCAGCCATGTATGATCACAATACACAATAGGAACTGCTCATTTCTACACTGTTTCTAGGGAAGTAAAGGGTTACTAGGGGAAGTGGTGTTTTATCACACATTCACCATTGCACATAAAAAGCCTAGAAGACCAAAATGCTTACACTGAAGTCTCCACATTTCTGTAATTAATACCACAATGATCTATTTTGGATATGGTTAGCATATGCTTTCTGTTCAATATATGTATAGTTAATGATATCTGGGGACATGCATGAAAGGGAGGGAAAATCTTCTGAGAAATACTGAGAAGGGAAGAATTTGCTTCAGTACTGGAGGGCAGAGCTTCTCACCACATCACCTCGGCAGAGCTGCCTCGGCTGGGGGTGGGGAGGCAGCAGCAGCAGACACCATAAGTCTCATAGGGCTGGCAGACTGTGTCTGCACAGACCGTGAGATCCAAACCCACATGTTTCTCTTTCTAATGACCCTTTTTCATAACCAGGTTTTGGGCTGTATTTTCTTTTCTAGTTAATTTGTTAAGTTAGTTTCTAGACTGACAGCAGAAGAGAATGATTTTATTGATGCCCAACAACCAGTCCAGACACAGTCCTGAGTATTACAATTGATTCCAAGCCTTCATGTTTCACATCATCATTTGCATTGCCGTGAAATAGGTGTCAGATGTGACCACCTCAGTACTGCCTATGCAAAGCATGGCAAAGACCTGCCAAAAATTTTTTTGAATGTGTGAAAAGAGCTGAGCAAGGAGCAAAGCGGGGGATTATAAACCCCAGTCAGTAATCCCTGAATTTGACCTGGAAGGTTTTCTTCACAGTTGATTTTGTAATTTTGTTTAGTCCTTGATGGCAGAAACAGAGCTATAAAAGTAGCAGTAGCATATTGCCTTATCTCCTGAAAACAGATCTGAGCTGCACCACCTCGTGTTGCAGTTGGTGGTACCCTTTGACCAGCACTGCTCACTTTGGACATGCAGTTCTGAAGTCACAGGCCTCATTACTCATTACATTTTTGCTGAACTATGCTGTATTACTTTCACTGACTTACGCAGAGCTGTGTATACCTCATGCTTTGCCTCCCCCACAAACACCTTGCCGTTTTTTTCCCATAGATAAATCCACACTAAGCTCGATTCCACTCATCTGCGCACGTGCAGCTCATACTGTACACTTTGCACCACGTCGTGTCACATCCCATGTTACCTGATTAAGATCAGTAGCTGGGAGTTGATTAATTGACTTTTCAGAAGCTCAACTTGTAAGTTTCCCATCTTTCCCATTATACACAGGGAATAAAATCAGAGCTTAAACAAGCACAAGAAATGGTTCATTTCCTTCCTGAACTCATCACCTTAAATTACTGTGAAGGTCCTTAGATGACACCAGGACTTCCCAAATCTTCCCACAGACTGCATCAAAATATCTCAAGCCTGAACCAAGACTCTTACCAAACACTGAATTCTGCAAGTTCTCCACTGCTGGGGGGCTGGAGACTGTGCCCACAGTCTTGTGGCATCCCTCTGCCTCCCATCTTCTCCAGCACAGAAGTCCACCAAATCTCCAAGGAGAGGATCCCCACTTCCCTCAACGGTGTAAAACCAAGGACAGCCTATTGTTGCAGTCAGACACTTCTAAGAAGCAGTGATAGGATGAAACCCCAAATCTACGTGACCCCCACCAAGTCAGCAGCCTCAGCAAAACTTAAGCTTCCCCAGAGGGACTTTATGCTTTATAGGAACTGGCTGAAATTAATGCAGCCTCAAATCCATAAGCTAAAACTAAGGCACTGCAGAAGCACGCTCACCACCCTCCTACAGGTTATCTGACAGCATTTTTGTTTCCCAGAATGTTCATTACTCACTCCACTCTGATGAAATTCATGACTACTAAAGTCAACTCCTACTGATATCCCTGGATCACAGGTTTTACCCGCAGTCATTTGAAGAAAAATAACCAAAAAATGTACAAGGCCTGAAAGAATTGCTGTAAACCAGCAATGGAGTGTGGCTATTTGCCTGCCAAATTTATTATGGTCTTTATTTATAAGTTACCACAACGTTTTTGTCCCCAAATGGTCCATTTTGAATTTTTAAGAAGACTGTAGCTTTTTAAACTTTGAAACCAGTTCTTAGAATCAAGGACACTGTTGTTCAAAACATGAGCAACATAGTAGCAAAATTATTTTTATTTCCATGGTACATCAACCACTAAATGCTTTACAAAACCAAAAAGCTTATGTTCAACCTTGGATTTAAAATTCAAGTTATGGCTTCCTTTAAATACCTCATCAAAATAACAAGCCTTAATTATTAAACAAACTAATTAGGGGTTTATACAACCAAGGCTGAATCTCTGCAACAGTACAGAATGGCTCTTAATAAAAGAGCTATGCTATGGGTGGGGCAAAGCAATAAATGCAGCCCGATTTTTATTTTTTTTTTGCCTTTATCAATCTCTACATAAAATACTTAAAGGGATATACTCACATGGTGAAAAATTAAAAGATATGAAATTTTTTTTACTGAAATCTGTCTAAAAACTAGCTTCGAGGATCACAAGTCTTATGTATTGGTGAGCATACATATTGAAAAAAATGAGAATGGTGACTGCTGTTTGAGGCATCTTCAAAGGTTTTATAGTATCCTGTGTCTCAGTACCGGCTCTTATGCTTCTTATCCATTGATACAGTTCTCCAAATAGAGGACATAAATACCATCCAGGTTTTAAAACATTTTATTTGCATATTAAAAAAATTGTGCATTCCAATAATTAAAATCATTTGAACAAAAAAAAAAAAAAAAAAAAAATGGCACTCGATTAACTGCATTTTACAGCTCGCAGGACCTTGGTACAGCTTTGCATTTATTCGTGTGTTACTCTAGTTTACTGTAGTCCCACCCAAGTTCTTCTTTCATCAACATGCAAGCTCTTTCATGCCACCAGGACCAAAGCCAGACAGGCAGAGGGAAAGGCAGCGCCTTCATTCAGTGTCAGTAGTTCTCTCTATTCTTTTGATGTGAAAGGGGCAGTACAGTCATTTAAAACTTTATCCAACCTCTTTGCATCTTACAAAGTTAAACAGCTAAAAGAAGTAAAATAAGAAGGCAATGCTTGTGGAATGTACAGTGCATAATTTGGAAGGGCAGATTTCATTACGATTCACCCGCTTGCTTCTCCTGTTCAATTGCTAAAATGGGGGAAAAAAACAGGAAAGGAGAAAACAAAATGAAAATCGAGAATCTGGAATGCATTCACATGACAAGTGCTATAAATTGCTAAAATAAATGTATATTATTTAGCTACAGATCAAAAGAGGGTGCAAATAATTGTAAATTAAGCGCTGCTAGGCGGTGGGTTCAGGTTTTCGCTGTCTAGCTGATACAGCCGTGTATCCTCCCTCCACCCTACAGCCGCCGCACCCCCGGCTCCCGCCTGCCGCCCCTCTTTGTCTCCTCCCGCCTCCCTCCCTTCATCCTTTCCTCCCTCCCTCCCTGCCCGTCTCCCTCCTTCCCTGCCTCAGTCCCTCCCTCCGTGCCCGCTCTTCCCTGCCGCCTGCCCTCACTCACTTTCTTTTGAAGGCAGCGGGTTTTTCTCTTGCGTCTCTGTCTTCTTCAATTTGGACTTGTCAAATTTCTCGATCTCAGCCATGTCTGGTTTGTCGGACATGTTGGCAGGTGCCTGTCTCTGCGCACGGAGGGGAAGAGCCCGTTACCCCCGGCCAGGGCTGCCCGGCCCCCCCGCGCCCCCGCGGGGCCGCGCCCAGCGCGGGGACCCGCACGCTCAGCCCCGCTGCAAGGGAAACGCTTCGCTCCCCACCGATTGAAAAATAATANCCTGTGCCCGCAGGGAAAGGGCTGGAGCAGGGCCGGGGCCGAGGATGGAGCTCTCGGCCGCGTCAGGGCTGCGCTGTTCCAGCTGTGCTCGGCAGCTCCCTCGGCTCGGCGGATTCAAATGGGCAGCCCCGGGCAGCGGTCGCTCCCAAGCGCAGCATCATCCGGCCTGGTGGGCAGCTGCTGTAGGGGAGGGGGCAGAAGCAAGGAGTATATGGGACGCGTGATTCCTGTTTCTGCAAATACGGCAGTGGGAAATAGCTGAATTATTCACGTGAAAGAGCCGAGAGACGCCGGGGGGAGTACGTGTGCGTGTGGCTGACTGACAGGGAGATGGGGAAATCTCTGCGCCTTTGTCTGGCAGCAGCCCTGCACGGCAGCAAAGGCACGCTCGCTTTCGAGGTCTGAGGGGGCACAGGAGCAGAAGTGTGGGAATTCACTTAATTTCTGCTCCTTCTGGTGTACCTGAACGGAAACCATGGAGCACATTGCTCCCTGCTCCTTGCCCTCCGGCAGGATATGCGATGCGAGTGTGATTGCTGGTGAATTAAGAGCCCCGAGTCACAAACAGTATTAATACATGCAAGGAGAACTGTAAATACATTTCAGTAAATTCCCTGGGGATGCTGCTTTCTCTGTTTCATGGTTGTCCTCTCCCCCCTGGCTGGCTATTTTTCATAGCATTTCCAGAGCTGTATTTTCGAGGAGGTAAAATCTTGTCCCCATGGCAATCCAAACAATACTTTCTATAGTGAACCAGGATTTCCAATCAGCCCACAGTCTTCCTGAAGTCGAGCTCCTTTGCATTTGGAGACGTGGTGTATAAAGTCTAGTTTCCTCCTGCAGTTCATGAGCACCTCCAAAACTGAGATGTACATGGTATGAGCCAGGAAGTGTGCAAGACTGAAGGCCAGAGGAACCTCTCAGGAAAGCAAGGACCAGGAGTATATCCTATAATTTGAGGATATTGACATATTTTCATAATAATGGCATTAAATACGTTCCCAAATGATCTTCTGGGTTGGATACCAGCTAACTCTGCTTTTGAGCACGTTCTGTAAAACAATTTTATGGCCGTTTACTGCTTTCATGCTTTAGGGCATTGAACGTTGCGACAAGGAATTGTGAAATTTCCCTGATGATCAGTTCATGAGCATCCCCAATGATGTTACAACCCCAGAATTTCAGTTTTGACAAAGATTTTTCTGATTTTTAAGTGAGATGTAATGTAATATATTCTTCAGAATTGTTCTCTAGGGATTCTCTAACTTCTCACAGATTTGTGTAAGTCAGTATTCCCCTGACTTCAGTGCAGGAAATGTGCTCCTGAAATTAAAGAACAGCAAATGTTTGTATGACTGGGGTCTGGCTTTTTTTTCAGAAACTGCTTCTCCAGTAGCAGCATTGCCTTCTTTTCTTCTGCTCATTTTGGGACAGAGCCGTGGAATCCACGTAAGCCACAGCCTTAGGTGGAGCTTTGCTGGTATCTACAAATCAGATTCCACTGCTGAGCTTTGATTCAATTACAGATCTGAGATACAGTGACAAAAGATTTACACGGTTGCTGTTTCTCTGCCTTGCTGTACCTTCTTTCTGGTGGAGTGGTGCTGAGGGCATCACAGTACCTTAGTAATGTTACATGTACTTTCCATACAAAGGAAGGATTGTTCTGGTGAAGCAAAATGAGTCTTGTTGCATTTTGGTGGCAAGAAGTTAGCTAATTTCTGTAGAATTAAATCCTCTCCACAACGGTTTTCTTTAGTGGTATAGAGAAAGTGCACATCTCCTTGTCCTTTTATATTTGCTTGTATTTGTTATTATTTGGAGAATGCAAAGGAGATACATGTTCATGCAAAACTTCTGAGGACAACAAAGCACACTTAGATGTGCAAGAGCTGTCATCCTCACAAATCAGTTGAAAAAGTCAGCTAATATTTGGTGTTGTAGTATAGTAACCTGCTAGACATGCACTCTATCAGTCATTTGCATGTTAAAAGAAAGCAGTTTTCAGCACATTGCTGATTCTATTTGCAAGAAGGAAATTGGACCCTTCCTAACAGTTTTCAGCTAACACCTTCAAGGGTTGAACTAGAGCAAGACAGCAAGTTCTTTCTTGCCTTCTATGAAATTCAAATTGTAGGAAAGGTAGTAATTGGTAAACCATAGTTCTTGCATCTTATTTGTATGTTCAAGTTTGAAGCCTTATAAAAAACATGAACATTTCTTCAGGTAAGCATATACTGATTCTCTTTGCTTAAATGTGACATGAGACTTGCTCAAGGCCATGCAACAGGGGTTTAATCAGATGTTACCAGCTGTCAGTGGAAGTGTGTGTATCTCAAACTCATTTCAGTGGACTTTTCCTTGAACTCCAATTGAAGAATGTTCTGAAATATGATCAGGAGCACAAATCTTCTAACCTTACGCTTATTCTGCATAGAGTTTACACATTCTTTTAGAAAAGAAAAGAAGTAAAGGACCATGCAATATCTATGTGATAAAACTCCCAAGGTTAATTCCCATCTCATCTTATTCAAAGTGGGATTCTAGGCACACTAGCTAGTAAGCTAAAAATAATCACTCTATGCAAATTTCTCCATCATATGGGAAGTAAATTAAAGAAAGGGAAGCCAAGGGATTGTTTTCCAGGTCTCAGTTTCACATGTGAAATCTTCTTTTCACATGCTTGACTCTCTGAGAGAGGATGCTTTCTCTCACTCCATATACTGCTAGAGGAAACAGGAGCTGGCAGTGAGCCCGAGAGTGTAAGTGAAGAGACAATCCCTTTGGGCAGTCCCTTTCTGCACTGCCTCCCTGCCAACAGCAGCAGGGTGTTGACAGTGACATCAGGGCTCGAGTGTTCAGTTGTTCAAACACCAGAGCACAATATTTGTGGTGTGCCACATTCCACAAATTGCTACCAGCAATTAAAATTAAAAAAGGATAATTGATTTATGTAGCAATATTTTTAAAAGGAGAACCCATTACCCTCCCCTCCCCCCACCACGCGATTTCAGAAGAGGGATTGCAAAATGCTTGTCCTAGCTGGACAGGTTCTGGTGCTAATTGGCTTTACAAGAAGCAGCATTTCCTTTTTTACTGTGCTTGACAAAAGGGAACTTTGCAACAGGTCCTGACTTTCAGAAAGCAGTGGGAGAAGAGAAGCCAGGCTGGGAGGCTCAGATTACTGCACAGGAAGTTAAGTACCCTCCAGAAGCAGATGCTCCTCTCCCACACCAATCTGCCTGACTGTTTTCCCTGCCTTGCCTATATCCATAAACAATAAATGAAGAGTGCTGAGCCTTTATTTAATGCGCAGGGAAAGTTGTGGCAATGCAACTGTTTGGAAGCCAAGCTATTCAAATACTGCTAGTGGAAGGCTGCCTGCATACCATCAATAACAAAGGAACAAGATGAGGGGGATACCAGCTGTCATTTCTGGCTTTTCAGGGATGCTAAGAATTTATTGTCATCATCTGAAATTTCTATTAAACGCAGAAGAAGCAAGAGATGTATGTCTTAAAAGTTTCATAAGGATATTTGTAAGTTTGCAGGGAACCATCCAACTTCCAGTTACTTGTATTGTGTTTTTCACACAGGGCACGGTGGGTACATGGTTTAGCAGTGGAATTGGAAGTGCTGGTTAATGATTGGATTTCATGATCATACAGGTCTTTTCCTACTTCAATTATTCGATGATTTTATATGTAAACACTATGTTTGAAAGTTATCTCTAGAAAGAGTGATTGAGTTGCCAAGTACCTGAGAGAACTGAAAACAATACCTTAACATGTCTCCTGCCTGAAGAAAAGCATATCCGTGCCAAAGTTTCACAAATGCTTGCCATTACTTTCTGAATTTTGCAGCAACTTTCCTCTCAATTATATGAGTAAAAATAATAATTTTGAAAGTGTGTGACAATATCAGCATTATGCATCATAAAAGCATGATGAATCATTTTTCCTAGTGCAACTCAGCAACCCCTTATTCCTGCAATGCTAGGTTTCTCCTAAGCAAAAATGCTAATTTTTTGGCATGTGTATGGGTGTCAATAGAGATTACAAACAGAAATCTCAGGCAAATGAAAAGACTGGATTTTTATGCCATCATTGAATATGAGTTTCTTTCAATGCAAAGGTAAGGCTAGATAGGCATTCAAAATACTGTGGTGTCCATTCAACATACAAAGACATCCATGTGTACAAAAGACAAGGCAGCTATTCTTATCAGCTTTCCATTGAAAAAGGAATGACCGGAGTAAACACTCAGAACGAAACAATGACTAATAGCGTCAAACTGCCGGGGCTATTGTATGGCTTTGGCAGTCCCCTAGAGGATTGCCAGTCCACTTGCTCTTAAGAAATAGCACAGAAATAAGCAAATACCTGTCAGAGACCATCCCCAGGATAGCCACATTGCATACTGTACTCATGGATGAGTTTCAGAGCGACAAAATGTACCCAGCATCCTTAATTAGGTGAATTATGTCCTTCCAAAGTGGAGCTCCCTCCCTCCACAGCCAACATTCTTACAACAAGTTGGCATGACACAGAAGAGCAGTGTAAGTCACTATGCCTGAGCATACAGAAGGACTTATTTATTTAGCTTGGAAAATGGCACTGCCCTTGAGGCCACACCTGTGCTATGTGCTCTGTGTACAGTTATCTCTGAGCTGGCTTTAAACAAGTGGCAACTTGGAACTCCCCTCAGGTTTATTGCTTTATGTTGATTTTCCTGGGCAGATTTTACTGCTTGTGCTGAATGCTGCTAACCATATCTGAGGCATTTGCTTTAAAACCATCTTGAGCATATTCAGCTATCAAACTTTCTGGTTTTGGCTTCCCAAACCCATTCAACTGCAACAATCTTTTGTCTCTTGTAAGGTTTTAGGCAGGTGAGGTTTTTCAAAGTTTACACGTGGGTTTATCTATCTA